AAGCACCTAGATATGAACAAAAGCCTGCTGATCATGAGAGCAGGGGATCAGCACAAATATTGATGGTGGCAATTTTCTTTTGGCCTCCCCAAAGCCAACAACTCCACTATTAAGGCAGATCATCCGATGTTTAGAAAATAAAGTGATGAGACTGGAGCAGGGGAAGAAGTACCTGGCTTGCTGTGACAAAAAGAAAACAAATTTGCTGTTTTCCTCCAACTATATATTGCATTTGCTCCAATTTCTTGTCTCACTTTTGCAACAAGAACCCAGATTGGTATCTTCATGATGTTTATTAACCTGAAAGGAAGCATTCAGCTGAAATCTGTACTGGATCTCCCCTCACTCAAAACAACTGTCCCTGTGACCACCGAGGGGTTTCCATGCATCAGATGTTCCTCACTGCAAGCTTGATTTTCCTGAGGTTGTATTGCTTTCACAGAAAAGCCTGTGCCCATAGAGTCTATACGGTTTCCTTTTACATATACAATAAAGGAAAGATGGAAAAATTACACCATGCCAAGAAAGCTGTCTTAACCAAACAAGAGCTGCTGCCTGGAGGATATATTTAGAAATTAGAGGACAATTTAGGAAGAAAGGCACACAACATAAGACAGAAGAGTAATGAAAACTAGGGAGAGTGGGAGTTTCTTGTAGGTATGGAGCACTCCCAGGCAGCATCAGTGAATACTCAAGACTGACACAATTCTTTTTCATCTCACCAAGTAACAGCAAAACCCAGCGCTCACTTATGCAGCGTTTTTCATTCATCCACCTCAAATTGCATTGCAAGGAGAATCAAAGCACTGGATTTAGCATCCTGCTCTGCAAACTGACACCCCAAGCCTGGGCAGAGACAGATACCAGCAACAAATGTAGGTTGTGGAGTCACGTCTGTTGTTGCAGATCCTGAGCTTGGCCCCTGGTACCTTCTCTTCAACCTTTGAAGCAGCCTGGGAGCCTAGTGTGAGCACAGCGTCTGAGGTTTGTCTGCTCTGTCGTTTCAGCAGAAGCAGGAACTTTTTTTCCAATTCGTCCTGTGCTTTTAAGACTTTCAGGAATGGCCTCAGGATGCTATCAGTTCATAGTAAACTGGATTATTGCCTCTAGCTAGCTTGGGAAATGCAGTATTTCAGCCTAGACTTTTGCCTTTGACAGAACAACCTGCCCCAGGAGTTTATATTTGTTCTTCAACACTTCTAAACATTGAAGATCTACTAGGACTGTATGACTTCTGAGTAACAACTGCACCGCATGACCTGGATTAGCGGACCCAGGCAGCAGAGGGACACCCAGGTGTAAGGAGCGGACACAGAAGATCAGAGTGCTGACAGCAGGGCTAATCAAACCACCCCATCTCCTGTGCAATCAGTGCAAGGATTGCAACACCAACGGGTAAAAACAGTTGCAAAAGCCCTCGCTGACCAAGTAGTCCCACCAGTTAAAAACACACACTCCTTGCTTCCCTTACCCTCATCTCAGGATCAGCTGTGCTGCAGCATAAGTGACTGTTCAGAGCAAAGCTTAAGCTGCACCACCACAACTGAGTGAAGTCTGATTATTTCCCTCCCCCTCTCTCAACTGTTCTAGCTCAGTAGGTGAGATGGATTTAAAACAAATAAAATACCACCAAAGCCCGGGGGTACTGAATTTAAACTAGACACCCACAATTACATTTTCAGTAGCTAAATTATAAAAGAAGATAAAAATAAAATTTCAGAAGCATGAAGGTTGTCACTGGAGTATTTTTATCTAAAGTGAGTCACAAATCCTGAGAAGTACGACTTTCTTGTTTGGGTTTTTTTTTTCCCTAATAACATAGAATCATAGAATTGTCAGGGTTTGAAGGGACCTTAGAGATTATCTAGTTCCAAGCCTGCCGCCATGGGCAGGGACATCCCTCACTAGATCAGGCTGCTCAGAGCCCCATCCAGCCTGGCTTTAAAAACTTCCAGGGATGGGGCTTCCACCACCTTTCTGGGCAACCTGTGCCAGCGTCTCACCACCCTCATGGGGAAGAACTTCTTCCTAAAAAATCGTAACCGATCCATCTCTAGCTTCAATCCATTCCCTCTAGTCCTGTCACTGCCCGACATCCTAAAAAGCCCCTCACCAGCTTTCTTGTAGCCCCCTTGAGACACTGGAAGGCCACAATAAGGTCTCCTTGGAGCTGCCTTTTCTGCAGACTGAACAATCTCAGCTCTCTCAGTCTGTCTTCATAGGAGAGGTGCTCCAGCCCTCTGATCATCCTCGTGGCCCTTCTCTGGACACGCTCCAGCACGTCCATCTCTTTCTTGTGCTGTGGCCTCCAGAACTGGACGCAGCACTCCAGGTGGGGTCTCACAAGAGTGGAGTAGCGGGGGAGAATCACCTCCCTCGACCTGCTGGCCACGCAACTCTTGATGCAGCCCAGGACACGATTGAGAACACTGCAAAAAAATCTCAATCTCAACACAAAGCCACCATCCCACACTAAAACCATCAAAAAAGTTAAAAGCCAAACAAAGCTTAGAGACACTGGTGCCTGCAGGACATCAGAAGCAACAGGTTTTTCTTACACAGAGAAGCATCAAAAGGAGTAAACAAGCCCACCCCAACTAACCAAGAACGGGAAAGTTGCAGGGAGTGGAGAAGCCTATAGGCATCTGACAATAGCAGAAAAGGTCATTTGAGTTTTCCTATCCAAAGGCTGAAACTAAAATACCAAGAAAGCACATTCTTGAATGGCAAGAAGGGGTATGTGAAATTTGAACATGGCCTAGAACAGGAAAATAAAAGCATGGGAGAGGAAAAGACTGAGACCTTCCACTCGTTGACCAAGAGTGCAATTCAGAGTTTAACATCTCCGCAGCGTATGTCTCCACAGATCTGCTGTTGGCAGAAATGGTTCGTGTGAGAACAGCAGCAATAATTCTGCATGTATGCAATAAGCCCAAGGTTAAAACTCCTGATATATGCCATGCTGGCCTTGTACAGATCTCCTTCAAAAGAAATTCACCTCTTCTTTTATACATGAAATAGACTTTTAAAAATTTCTTATGACAACACATTTGGTTTTGTGTCAAATTTTAATATTCATTAAGTCCATAATGACAACAATGCAAAGAATTCAGGTTAAAGGTGTTTTCTGTTGTTTTTTTTGTTGTGGCTTTTTTTAAACACAAGGTCAGAGCGTACAGTCAAAGAAAGCTCTGCCACCAACTTGATAGGGACAGAAGCACATTAAAGGTTGAATAAAGTGCGATTTAGTAGCAATCCTAAGACATCTCTTTCTTTTCATGCACCTGTCACCCATGCTTTCAACAGCACTGGTAACACTCCACTCAGAAATCAGGTTCTGCCCCAACGCCAGATCTCTGTGGCATAAAGTCCTTTGCTGGCTGTCTCATTGCAGTAAAACTCTAAGAGCCATAAGCAAGTCAGTGAGATTGTGGTGGCTCGTTGAGACCATCATGGGAAGAATGAATCACCTGCCTTGGAAATATAAATGTTTATGAACGCTGCTTCTATTCTGCACATATATTCTTGAGACACACAACTTTTACCAGGGTGTTGATATTTATGTAATTCCATAAATTTAGATGGTGCATTACAAACACAATATGCAGTCGTAGCTATAAATAGAGCAGAGGAACAGAATTTTCAACTATTTCTTGTTTTCTGTGCACTATAAATGAGATATATGGCATAAGTTAAAGGAACCAGAGGAAAGAAAACACAGCTATATGGCAACAAAAAATCACGTGAGTCTCCATATTTTAGATGGTGGAACGGTCAAAGACTAACCTCCCAAAGAACAGAAAAATAAAATCAGTCCCTGAGATTTAACTCCAACATTTAACCACGACTAAAAGACAAAGAGCAGATTCTGAAGTGGACGTTTTGATAACAGATTATTTTCAGCATCAATGTGACAAACAAACACCTGCCCTTGACAAGAAGGATTCTGAAAAACATTGTAATCAAAAGACTAAATTTCCTTCTAAACCTTGGCTGATGCTTTTTTAGTGCTCACAACACTATGGACGCATGTATAAATCCCTGGAAAAGAATAATAACAAAAAAAAAAAATAATCACTGCAAGAACATTGTAACAGTGTACCAAGGAAGACATTCTTCCAGAAGGCCACCTAACAAATTTCCAATGCATAATAAAGGGACAAAGCAGTAACTCTTGGTAAGTTCTCTAAACTTTGATAATATTCTTAACACTAAAAGTCTGCTTCCGGAGTTAGATTTGTCAGGCAATGACTGTAACAGAGCTTAAGGCCTATGGCTTAATACTGGGTACCTGAGGTCAACCAGCAACCTAGCACTGATGCGAGCAGTTATTGTATGTTTATTTAGTTTTTTTAAAAAGGCTTCTTGCATCAGTCTGCATCCTCATTTCCACTGCTTTGATGAATTAACAAATTAGTTCAGAGAGGAAGAGACTCCTGGTATAAGCAGTACTTTTAGAGCCAGGTCAGTTATTTCTTCTATTTCTTTTTTTTTTTTTTCCATTTTATATGGGATATATTACATTTATATTGGATGCATTATATCAAACAACAGCTGGCGTAAAAACTTGTGCACTGAATTACCATTTCAAAAATATCTTGAAATACTTCTGGACACTCAGATTACTCCCAGACACACCAGACCATGATTTCACGTGAGGAAGATCCATCCTACCATAATATTACTTGGCTCTGGTGATAGATTGACACACATTTCACAATGAGGTAAAGGATTCAGAGTTCTGATGCTCAAAAGTCAGCGAGATCCTGCTCTAAAATTGGTCATACTGCTGCCTTTCTGCCATGGGGAACACAATCACTCAACGCAGATGCTGTTTTCACAAGGAAATGGCCACCTGGGGCAGAACAGATCTGAAAAGTGGTTTTTAACAGCTCTCAGTACGTACTGTAATGATTATTTTGTTATACTGATGTCTTTCAAAAAGCATCAGTCAGGTAAAAAACGTGAGCCTTTGCTTTATCGTCCACAACAGACAACTTCTACAGTGCTTCTTCAGATTGAATTGACGGGGTTTCCCATGTGTCCTCATCTGCCAAGTGAGCCATCTGTGAAGTCTGATCCCCAGGTGCTTTCTCACCCTGAGCTATTAATACTGCCTCTGCTTCTCCTCCTCCTAACGGAAGGTCAGAGCTACGAGAACAATTAGAATCATCAGGTTTGTCTGTCAAAGACTCTGCTGTAGCTGTAGTTGGAGGGGACTGCTCAGTCTCTGTTTCAGCTTGTGGTTCTGTTTTAAAACGGAGTCCAAACACATTGTTTTGGATGAGGTATCGAACACATTGCAGAATCACATTCCTTTCATGTCGGATGTCCTGGGCCAGCAACTGGAAAGAAAGAAGAGAAAATGATGATGCACGTTTCCCTCTAATGCTCTGTAGCTGATACAAGCTCAGCAAGATGTACAGCTCTACTCAGTAATTTTTTGATTCTCTGAATTTAAAATTGTTGGCTGTCTCGCACAAGTTCTGCACACAGGGAGTGGGAGACTGCCCTACCAGGCACAGCACAGGAGAACCGAGCATTCCCACATTCAGTGCTTTCCCACCAACCAACAGGGGCTTTGGCAGAGCCAGTGAGCATGTATTACAGCACTACCACACAGCTCGAAGGGCTGGGGACACTTAAGGGCTTGCTGTCCCCTCCCCCTTACACCAGCTTGCACTGATCAGACCCCTTAATGCATCAGTTCAACTCACAGGCCAAAACAAATCTGGCAATTAGCAGCAAGTAATGGGATGTTCTGGGACCTTTTTCATGTATTGTTTGTTTGTGGTGGCTTTTTTCTTTTTTTTAAGGGCTTATGTGTTAAAAACTGAATGAAGTCAGCAAAAGGCCCAGGATAGCAGAGAAGAGGTTGGAGGAAGCAGCAGCAGGCTGCTGGAGCAGCGCAGGTTGGTGGTCAAACATCACTTGCAGTGATAAGAGGCTCGTAACGACCACGATTCGCTACATAACTGGCACGTGATTGTGCCACTGAACAAGATGAAAAATACCTGCCTGCCCAAAGCACACATTTACATGTCGCTCATTTAGTGCAATCAACGCACTAAGGCAGGTAGAACAAGCTGACAAATTTAATGGCACCTTTGGATTTAGCTGTCAGTCTCAGTTTGCTCAGGTGGTACAGAACACCACTGAATATACCTAAATACTAGGAATTTCCACCCTAGTTATCTGGTTGTGGACCCACATGACCATTCCCCTGTATCAGACTGTAATATTAGGCCATGCATTCCAGTACATCAGGAGAGACAGCCTATTAGCATCTCTTAAACTTTTGAGGTTATACTGTGTCTGTAATTAAACATCCCATGCATTTTTTATTACAAAACCCCTAGGAGTAGGAGATATTCCTAAATGCAAGGAAAGGGCATGTTTCATCAGGTACCAGACTGTGGACTTAAATAGAAATAGCTGGTTTGGGCTATAATCCACCAACTTAGGTGTAGTAGCTTAAAGTACTAGAGGCTTCCCTCATCTCCTTTACCTCCCTGAAGTTCACTATGGTATTAAAAAAAAATAAAAATTAAAAATCAGCCAAAAGGCCTTTTGCGACTGCAAATGTCAGCAGAACTAGTACTCTGAACAAATTAGGTTAAAGCAAGTGGCAAATCTGTAACTGCCTGATCACTTGCAGGAGACCTGTATTACACACTACAGATGATCTGGCTGAATTTGGCTTGCAATGTTGCAAAGGAACTTTTCTGTTGTTCTGAGTTTCAACAGTGGTTTTACCAGCCACTTTGAAGTGCGTATAAGTTACTAAGAGGTGTTACAAGCAGCTGACACCTAAAATGGACCTTCAGAAACTTCCCATCTGAACTAAGAGATACACGTCAGAGCAGAGAAGGGACAGCACAGTGGCATTCTTGTCAAACAGGGAGAAACTGTGAAGTTTCCAAAGAGCCAAGTAAAGGCACAGATGTGATGAATCATTACCCTATCAAAGCTCACATCTTTGTATTATAATTTTCAATGCAGGGACAGGTATCAGTGGAGTGATGCTACACGAGCTTTTCATTTTGTCAGCTACAGAATGGCTAAACACATGCAACTGTTTGCATGGCTACAATAAACACGTAGAGCTCAGTGCCCAAGCTCACTGCCAAATGACGGCCAACAGACATCTGCAGCTATTCTCCTACCTCCCCTTTAATTTTTTTTAAAGTGTCCTTTCACTGACGTAACAACCTTTCTTCAGCAATTCCACTTCCTCACTTTTTGGATAAATTCTCACCAATGACTCACTGTAAAACTTCAACCTTGCTTCCTCAAGGTTTTTATACACTGAGTGTTTCTGATGGCAGAAGCCTACCTGCAAGTCTCAGGCATTCCTCTGCAATTCACAGTCACACTACACAACCTTTACCAACAGCTTTGAGCAACGTTAAAAGGCAAAAAAAAAACAACAAACCACAAACCAACCCAAAGTGCAATTTTAAAAATGGACTATACTAGCAAGCTACAATTCAGGCCTCCAATGTTCTGCCAGCTTCTCTCAGCATGTGGGACTTCATATGAGGTTTTTTCAGAGTCCTCACAGCTTTGATCACCAACAACTTTGAAGAGCAAGAGATAAAGACAACTGCATGCTTAGGAAGCTACACAAAGGGCAAACACTTCCTTTCCAGTCACTAGGAGCTTTAATTCTTGGCAGCAACGGTGGCATGCACTAAAAGGACTATCAACGGATTTCTCCCACATCTGCAGCTTCGGATGTGCCTTATCAAGTATCTCTTGCCTCAACATCCTGTGCTGTTTCAGCATCCTGATGTCAGTGGCACCCTGCTTTCTCCTGTGTTCTGCCCACAGTAAGTTCTCCCTTGATGGGGAAGCTTTATACTTCCTATTTACAGGATCAGTAGTCTACCTATCTGATACTGCTTTTAAATACTAAACACAATAAAAGCTTCAAGGCTTTGCTTATACTAAAGAAAAGCCACTAAGCTTCCAAACAGGATGCTTTGTGCAGCTACTGAGAATAACATCACAACACCTTGGACCCACCCTTAAAAAACTCTTTTTTATCCTTCTGATGCACCAACCTGGTCTTCAGTGCTGTCACTTCCTTAGCTTGATTTAAACAGGCCTACAGAGAAGAAACTTATGCACATGCAGGTTGCAGCTAAACATCTTTAAGTTACCAACACCCTCATCAACAAGATCTCTTTGTATCTGAAAAAAACCCCAACCTGTGTGCTCCTCAGTCAGGAGGTGGCAGCTGAATGGCAAAGTCAGGAGAAAAGGGAAGATGATCAGCAGAAGACTGATGAGACCACACAGAAATAAAACTTACTAGATACTGCCACAGGGAGGCACAAAGGTTTTGTCCTTTGTGCAGCTCATTTTAGACACATGATTCAGATTTTATCTCCTGTTCAGCAAAGTCTGCACACCAGGCTATTTCTATCTGTCTATTTAAGCATCTACACATTCGCTGAATGAAACACTCACTTTAGTGTTTTTAAGACAGGACCTCTGCTAACAAACTGCTCTCTTCCCACAGGGAAGAGAACTGCTCACAAATAGAGCTACTATTGTCTAAGAGGCATTATTTTATCACTGAGACCATTACCATTTCCAGCAGAGTTGGTCGGCGCTTCGGAAGCAATTTTTTCTTGCCCCAGTTATCAGACCTTCTAGGGGGACGTGCATTTGAATTCGAGCTTCTTAACGTCGTGCCTGCATATTCTGGACGTTTTTGATTCAAGTTTTGACTCCGAGGAACAGAAGTACTTTGAGGCATATTTCCGAGCGCAGCCTGGTTTTTCTCAGCTTTTGTTGCAGTCTTGACAGGGATTTCTTAAAGAAAAAGAACACACTTTCATCTCAAACTTAAAAGCATTTTTAACATGCTTATATCCCCATGCACTGGCAGTTCATTAGTCCTATTCTTGCTCACATAGCCTGATGTGAAGATGTTCAAGGTTTACTTGAAGGAAGGGAGGATGTTGTTTGGGTTGGGTTTTGAGTTTCTTTTAAAATACAAGGAATAATATCTAAACATGCACAGAAAGGGAAACAAGGTATTTAAAGTCTGCAATACAGAAAGAAAAATAGAAGTAGTAAGAGCTAAACAAGATTTTCCAACCTCTGCCTTATTACTTAGAAAGCACATTGCTTCCCCTTCACAATACAGCTTGTTGCAAATTTGGCTGCTAAGAAAGTCATGATACAGTTAGGGCAAAAGATATCCAAGTTCAATTCCCTGCCTGCTGGACGCTGTCTGTAACTTTGGGTAGGCATCTAGGGCAAACAAGGCACGGTAATTATCTGTAAAAATGAGGAGCAGTTGCAGTTCTGTACCGTACACTGATGCACACACTCCGAGAAGTAAAAAATCCAAGTACTAAAGTTCAAGCCTTATTGCAACACCCAGCAGCCTTCTATGGAAAAAAAGCCCTTAAGAACATGGAAATCAGTTCACAGGGCGAGTGTAATAGCTTCTTCCTGGAACTATTCAAAGATGATTTGAAGCAAGACTGAAGACAGGATGCTTTTTTTTCCCCCAACCAGGGGAAAAAATGCTTGGGAAATTCGATGACATGCACCCTAACCAAAGACATTTTATACACCGGCTTCAACTCAGCACATGCTGCTGAGAAAAGGCAAGCAAAGAGAGGGGAAATAGCCCATGCAGTCTTACAGGAAACTTTTTTTTTTCAGGCTTTCTAAAGTATGCTGTAGGGCTAGGGGTAAAAAAACCAAACCAAACACCCTAAAAAAGAAAGGGCATTAGATGCAGCACAGGGCAAGTGGACAAGGCCATCCCTGTGCACTGGCTGTCTGCACAAATGCTGTCTTCTGTTCGGGTGCTTCTCTGAGACCGGGAGCTATCACCATACTGGGAAGATGTAATGGCTCACCCAGTAACCCCAGTTAGCGCTCAAAACTGGGAGGAGGGAGGAATGGGGAAACAAGAGGAGCAGAACAATAGCATATCCACTTTCTCCTCCCAGCCTGTCTTTATGCATGGCTTACACCAGTACTAGCACACTGTCACTGAAAGCAAACTGGAAAGGATCTGTGCATTGACTACAGAACTCCCTGTGCACAACCCTTAACAAGTTTCTCTGTTTGCTTGTACAAGCCTAAAAGTCAACAGATACAAGACAGTTCTGAATTACAGCATCAGCAGACAGGCCAGAAAACAAAAGGCATGCCCATAGCCAAGAGTCGAGGGAGGTGATTCTCCCCCGCTACTCCACTCTTGTGAGACCCCACCTGGAGTGCTGCGTCCAGTTCTGGAGCCCACAGCACAAGAAAGAGATGGACGTGCTGGAGCGTGTCCAGAGAAGGGCCACGAGGATGATCAGAGGGCTGGAGCACCTCTCCCATGAAGACAGACTGAGAGAGTTGGGATTGTTCAGTCTGCAGAAAAGAAGGCTCCGAGGAGACCTTATTGTGGCCTTCCAGTATCTCAAGGGGGCCTACAAGAAAGCTGGTGAGGGGCTTTTTAGGATGTTGGATAGTGATAGGACCAGAGGGAATGGATTGAAGCTAGAGATGGATCGGTTCAGATTGGACGTTAGGAAGAAGTTCTTCCCCATGAGGGTGGTGAGACACTGGCACAGGTTGCCCAGAAAGGTGGTGGAAGCCCCATCCCTGGAAGTTTTTAAGGCCAGGCTGGATGGGGCTCTGAGCAGCCTGATCTAGTGGGGGATGTCCCTGCCCATCTCGGGGGGGATGCCCCTGCCTATGGCAGGGAGGTTGGAACTAGATGATCTTTAACGTCCCTTTCAACTCTGACAATTCCATGATTCTGCATCGCCACTGAACTGCTATTATTTTAACACCTTTGCTAAATGCAAGCCACAGCTTACGTGCTGTATTTTCTTTTGCAACACCTTTGATTTATCTTAAAAGTTTTTTCTCAAGAAATTTTAAGTATTGTATAGATCCTGACCAATAAGATGCAGCTTTTAGCAGCTGGGGACGCAGCCATAAAGATCCACCCCCGAGCTACTGCACTCACGAATGCTGTCTTTATAAATACCCAGGGGCTGTATAAGGGGATGGGAGATGGCAAAAGACCAAATACAGGAGAGGTGAAACCTTCCTCCTTCACCAAAAGAAGGGTAATTTGGTTTTATCATTGCCTGCCACTCACACCAGTGCAGTGACATGGGGTAGAAGAGGAGAGGAAGAGGGCAGAGGACGTGCTCCTACGCACCTTCAGGCTCGCTGTCGGACGCACTGCCGTAGTTGGTCAACAACGAACTCAGGGCAGAGGTGACATGCTTGGGGACAACCGTCACTCCTAGCCTATCGTCTTCGGCTGCTGCTTCATCCTTGTCGGATTCTGCAGGGAGAGAAAAGAGGGATTTTCCCAGTACACTCGCATGCTATATCCCCATCTCGGCACCACACAAGCCCAACATTGGGCATCGTTTCTCAGTACTGTGGACTGATAGGAAAAAAACCCACATTTCCCTTCCCTCTACAGACATTTGGTGGCAAAGTGTTCCCACCAGGGGAGTTTACAGCCCTTTTAGTGAAGCTACAGAAGCAAAAGAGCTTGGGCTTTCTGGTTCTTTCTTCACACACCAAACATAATTATAGGTTTTATTATCAAGTGTAGGTAAAGAGAGAAAGGATTTCATAATACGTTTTGAAGTCTTGCTGGATTTAGTCCTGTGTAGGTGGGGGGAGAAGAATTCAAAAGCCAGTCAGGGCAGTGGTGAGGAAAGGGGGATAGAAAAAAAAATAAAAAGAGATGAGATAGGCTCAAAGTGAGTTTAAGAGCAAAGAAATTCTTGGTTAGTAAAAAAAGTTCATAAGTGACATTGAGAACCAAAGTTACAAACCAAATGGTTCAGTTTTCAGCTGTACTTCAGACCGTTTGATACTTAAATTCCTGCAGAGCATTAAGAACACGCATGAGTAAGCGAGGTATTAACAGTCTCAAACTACCCCAAAGGAGAATACCGGGAAGACTGAAGGCAAGTGGACTGAAAAAGCTGAAATTGAGGATACTAGGAAAACAGAGCCCTACGAGAAAAAGATTCATCAAAAATCAGGCAAAATCGTGATGGCTTTAGTTTGAAACAAAGGTTCTCTCTCTACTAAAATCTTGGAAAGACTCTCAGGTGAACAGTACTAGATTTAGCAGGAAAACTGGGAAATGCTTTTCTATAATACACAGGCATACAAATTTCATATACACCCACCCACCACTATTAACATTTTGAGGAACTAGTCTGTGAAGACTTCTAGAAGAAGACTGGTTGCAATCTTATTTCCACAAAGAAAAAGCTCTCTCCCATTCCCTGTCTATCTAAGCCTGCCCCACAGGAAAGCTGCCTCACACTTCTTGGGAAGATTTTTCCAAAATAAACACTTCCGAGATCTTTATTTTGAAATAATAAATGTTTCTCTATTCTCTTCCAATATATCATTAATCGTTGGCAATTAGAGCTCGTGCCATTTGGTAAAACAAATTCTAGATAAAGACAGAGGAGTTTATCTAAACTACTTACCTGCCTCTTTTACTTTGAGCTTTTTTGAGAAATGTTGGTTCTCACTAATTTAGCAATTATGCCAATTTGTAGTTACATTGGAAGCTCATGCTAAATGCAGTGTATTTTGCTAATGGAGAATACATAGCATCTGTATATACTTAAGCAATTATAAAAATAGCCTTTACTTCCAAGTTATTCTGATTCACTACTGCTTTTTTTCTATTTCACCCAAAATGTTCAGTGCGTATTGTGGTCGGGTGCCTTTTCATTTTATTTTCTTTACATTTTAAAGAACTTCTTGTAATGTGCTTTTTAACAAATTAGGAAAATACATTTAGTAGGACACATTTTCTCTTCGAGAGTAGCACATCTGGAGGAAGCATTACGCAGTAAAAGTGACTGTTTTTGCTCAGCAGATCCCTCAAAATTTTACACCCAAGAGTCTCATCATCCTACTTTCTTTCTGCCTGTAAATCAAGAGGAAAATTTTGTTTTCTCATCTACCATTCAATTTCTTATTTTTGAAGGAAGTTGCCACTAAACAGAGCTTAAGTGGGTGCATTATGCAAAAAATAACATTCCCTCTAGAGAAAGGGCTGCTACTGTTAAAAAGGTGTAAATATTCAAACAAAACAAACCTACAAAGTAAAATCATCAACTTCAGTTGTATGATTTTAAAAAAAAATTTACTTAGTTATATCGTGCTTGTTATTATTTGTTGTATTTCTCAATAGTATAAAAAAATGCAAGTGCCTTTAATTATATGTAATAAGAAAGTACAACATTCCTTTTCTACCTATTTTAACAGACGTTACTAGCTGTACTTTGGTATAATTAGACTTTTCTTCATTAAGTAAAACACAGATGCTGTGGAGAAATACAGTTATATTTAAGCGTACTTAAGTTTCCCAACACGCAGAGATTAGTGGAATAAACAAATTGCATAGGGATGCTGAATTCTTGTTCCCACTAATTGAAGATTATGTTTTCAAGAGGAAAAAACTCAGCATCAGACATCTTTCCAGGGGATGTATTCTAGCCTTGTTGCTAAAAATAGCTAGAGTGTAAGTTAGCTTACATGTCATATTATGTGAGCACTGCACCACCACTGACTCTATTACAAACAGCTACATCTGGAGAGTTTATATCACTATCAGCATATAGAAATAAGACATGCTCACCAAAAAAACCTTAAGCAGCAGTACATCAGAGAAGACACACACATGGAAAGGATCAAGAGCAAATTAGATAAAACAGCAAAAAAATAGAATTAAGGGAAAAATGCTGACATTTTAACTAACTCACTCAACTCATACAAGGACACCATTTGTTTTTCTATTCTAAGTACACCACAAAGGCATACTTAATAGTATTTAAAAATAACTTGATTGCTGAAGTACTTTATTCTTCCAGCTTTATAAAGATCTTCTTATTTTACATGTTAGTTTAGCAACCTAAGTTGGTGCAAGTTCTTTATGCTATTGCATATTATTTACGTCAGAACATGTAACCCCCCACACAGGCTTTATGGCAGCACTTCCAAACCCCTGTCTAGCAAGCCGAAGTTTCAGCATTTAAACTTAAAACATGCTATTTCCTTTCTTCTCCTTCCTAAAAATAGGCCCAAACCGCTTTCCTTTTACTGCCTCTCCCAGCTAAGTGTTCTGAGGGGGGGGAAAAAAAACCCCAAACAACAAACCACAAAACATTCTTAATCAGGAGATTACAGGTAAAATAAGATTATAATAGCAAAGCACTTATTAAAACAAAGAACTGAGGTGCTCCGTTAAGAGCCCAGAAACCTTCTTCAGTTTGTTAGCTAAATATTAAAATCTAGTGATGTATTTTAAAACATACAAATCTATGATAAGTATCCCGGTGGTTATTTTTCGAATCGAAGACACACCTGCACCCTATCTCCCATATACACACACACACACCACTACTAGAAACATTTTGAGAAACTAGCCTGTAAAAAGGCTGGTTGCAATCTTCTCCCCTTCAAGTTATTCTGTATCATAAAAAAAGGCTTAAAATTTAGTACTTCCTAATCCTCCCAGAAAAATCAAAGACATATAAATAGTCTGCTAGAGTTTTCCTGTGCGTTTATAATACGATCAACTTGGCTTGCAAGTAAACCTATGTAGAAGCACTGGTTGTATCTTAAACATTCTCGTGTGGGTCTTTCCAAACCTGAACTTTTCTGCCTCTTCAACGTCTTTGTATCGAAGCTTCTTCCCAAACCATGTCTTAGACAGGCCTACTAGTTGTAGCTCCTCCTACCAGGACACGTGCACATATCTCAAAGACCTCTAGACTACTGAGCTAGTTTTCTCCATCACAGGCCAAGCCTACTAGGGCAGAAGCTCCCTGAAATGCAAGATTTACCGCATTTCCTTTAGATAAAGCACTGTCCTACTCTTTCACAATAATCACAGTGGGATTTTTCTTAGAAGACCATGACCTAGATCAGGATCTCTCTCTATGAAAACTTCCATTTAAAAAGAAGTTCAAAGTGCAAGCTTAAGGCACAGCGATGTTGGACTACCTTCAGGCTTATAGCCCTGTTGTCCCTGGCACTATTCTAGTCACAATACAGAATTTTTTGGCTTTTTTTGTTAGCAACAATGAAAAGGTAAGTATGACAACAGGCTCCCCAGTATTCCTCTCCAAGAATATCGGAAAGCCTTGCATTAATGCATCAATCTTCTAGCAGAAGAGTTCCCTTTTTACACATGCATAGTTAGCCCTCTTTCAATGAAGGACAGAGCTGACATGTCTTCGGAAATCCCCAGCTCTCCCCAGAAGTTGCTAGTTACGCAAAAAGGTCAGTAATCACTTCAGCAGTACTACTTAAAACAGAAGTTCTCCAAGTTCCTTCATCTTACCAACATCACTGTTTGCCAGAAGGCCAAGAGGGTCCACGTCCTTCACGTACGGCTTAGCTGCCGAAGGAAGCTGTTTTTCAGGTTCCTTTTCACAAGTGTTGTTTTCTGGTCCATTGGTTTCATTTTGAGTTCTATGTACATCATAATAGTCATCATTTTTCCTTAATTTCTTCCAGAATGGATGCTTTTGCCTTCTTCTCTGCCTTCCTTGTTGCCTAAACCTCTCTCCATTTTCTGAAGGTTTCCACATCCCCTTCATTTTGCTGTAGAATAGAAACCCAAAAGCTCATACAAATGACAAGCTACAAGAATAAAATCAAATGACGTAACTGAATGGCTTGAGTCCACATTTAAGATTCAGCAACACAGCATGATGCCAGGAGTTAATCCAGCTCAGCTGACGTGGTGGCAGAACAGACAGGTAGTCACAGCTCATCTCATTGGCAGGGCAATGTGACAAAGCTGAAACCTAAATAAGGAATTTGAAGTTCATGGCTTACCTTTTAACAAGGCAAAGGGTACATGGGCTAACATGTAGATGTTCTTCTACAGTGTGAGAATATCATGTTTTCATTTCACATTATGAAGCCAACATTCTCCTCACTTAGGCAATCAAGTCATTCAAAACAGGAGGAAGGTGGAATTAAAAGAGAAGCATCTACTATAAGCATTTTTCCACTGCTGAAGTCTCTTTTTTTTCCAGTTACAGCTCAGAGAAGGATCTTGCTGCAACAAAGCCACTCAGGCATGTGACATCATCAGTCTCAATGACTGCCCAGTCCTGCCTCCAACTAACATGCCATTCATCTTTTTGACTCCCGTGGAAAAGGAATAAATGAAACTTCGATCAGGACAATGAATTTTTAAAACCTGAAACAAAATAACAAGTCCTAAAATATAGAGAGAGTACAACATGCTGGTTCCACTTACTCTTTCATGGTTCCATAATCTTCCAGGCTATCCTATAAACACAAGCCGTGTTTATAGGAAGGTACCTGGAGAGATTAAACTCTCAAAGTCTAAAGATATAAGAATAGGTGACCTAGACATAAAAGCAAATAAAGAAGGGATAACCTAAGTTTCCTGAAAATACTTATTTTGAAGCAACAGAAACTTAGTTCAGCTACTAACCATCAGCACATCACAACCACAAAAGACATACAAGATCTACTGTCCTCAAGGAGCCCGAGGGTTCGTTCTGCTCTCTTCCTTAGCCTTACCTACAGTATGGCAGAGGTCCTGTTATCCCTAATCAATCGTATAATATCATACTCAGGGGCAAGAGCTTCTTTTTGAAACTTCTCCCTGGGTGCAGAGTCATTCATATGTAAGTAAAATTTCATAGATGTATTTCTAACCTGGTGCCTTGCAACTGATAAGTAGCCAGAGGAACACATGGGGAAAGAAAAAAACCAGCATAAAAGCAGGGTGAATGGTCACCTTTCTCGTCACCCTTTTCTGTGGCGTACCACTTAAAGAGACCCTCTCAGACTAAAGATGCTCCCAAGACACTAATGGTTTTGCATCTTGTGCTGCGAGATGTTGTGTGAATGTCTGCCATCCCTGAAAACATGTGGCAAGGTGTTAATATTTTGTGGAAAAGGCCTTCTTTTGGTTACAAGAGACAGTGTAGAACCATATTCTCACTTGTCTCTTCCCACCTGTGCCATTTTTCTAGACCTCCTAATAGATTTTTTAAGTCATCCATTTCTTCACTTGTACAGAACCGTTAATATTAGCTCCCCTAATTCAACTCCATCTAGACAGAGGACTGCATTCCTGAACTCGTACAGCGGGGCTCTAAATTCAGGATGTTGTCGTACAACCTAGAAGATATCGAGCAAAAATACAGGCTCAGTTAGAGGTGTTGACCTTGACCAAGGGTTCAAAACAACACCCTGATTTCCCCGGGCCTTCCAACACCCAGAGAGAAACTTCGAGATCACAAACACATCCCAGCAATCATCAGCTTGGCATGTGCTTCCCCCTCGTTAAAGATACATCACTTCACTGGCTGTTCGGAGAGTATGAAGAGCTATTCATCATTAATCAGCTGTTGCAAGACACCAGACAGGCTACCAAAGCGGTCCTTCTGCATCCCTAATCTCACATGCGAGGATGCTGAGAATTAGCAGTTGCAAAGCACTTCAGAGCACCACAAATGGAAAGCACCGTACGAGTGTTAAGTATCTAATCCTTTCTGAGTCTTACTTAGCTATTTGCTTTAATAGTACAGCTTGCAGAGAACAAGCTCTATTCTATTTTTGCCTCATGCATCAGTAAATTTGGCAGATAAGCACCAATTCCACAATCTTTACTGTTGATATACAAAGTAGAAATGACAGCTTTTTGGACAGTTCATCAAGTTTATAGCGCTAGCAGTTCAGGGAAGGAAGGGAAAAAAATTTCTAGAATCAACCATAGTTAAAGGTCACCAAGTGAAAGCAAACAATGTATTTGAGGGCTGCTTTTTTCCCTCAAAATGATTTTCCAAATAAAAAGTTACTAACAGATATAACAGTATGGAATTGCTGATCGACCTTTAAGACTACACAATGCATTCAACTCACAGCTACAAGTGTTATCAAATAAATCCTTAGAAACCAAACAGTTTGTTACTGTGACAAGCAAAACTCATCCTTGGTCATAAAAATTTTCAAGCAAAAATTACATGTTTGTGGCTTTAGTCTCAGTGCCGAGGTTTGGTTCCTTGGGTCTAAAGCACTTCAGCAACTTTATATCCTTTGAAGGAAGTTTTATTTCAATCTTTTATAAACTTTTCCTTCCAAAGTCAAGAAAGGCAACTGATCGGAGGGGGTGGACAAACATTGGGTTTCCTGAGGCATGTGCTGCACCAAGGTAATTTACACTGTCACCATTTAACAAATTATACTAGTCTGAAAAGATAAAAAGGCTCTGGGCAGATCCTAGAGCAGCCTCTCAGTACTTAAAGGGAAGCCACAGGAAAGAAGGGGAGGGACTCTTTATCAGGAAGTATAGTGATAGGACAAGAGGCAACCATTTCAAACTGAAAGAGAGAAGATTTACATTAGATATTAGGAAAAAAATTACGTACTGCAAGAGTGGTGAGACACTGGCACAGGTTGCCCAGAAAGGTGGTGGAAGCCCCATCCCTGGAAGTTTTTAAGGCCAGGCTGGATGGGGCTCTGAGCAGCCTGATCTAGTGGGAGGTGTCACTGCCCAGGGCAGGGGGCTTGATACTAGATGATCTTTAAGGTGCCTTCCAGCCCAAACCATTCTATGATTCTGTGACACAAACCCTATTCTGCACTAGTTCAACCACTTCACCATGGCGCAAGTTTTTTTTTAATAATGGGTGACACCAAACAAAATAAAATAAAAAATTAAGCAAGCTCCAGATTCACTTCCACACAGCAACAAATGGTATTTAGCAAGAGCCCCTTACAAATTAATCTCCTCCTGTCTTCCAGTTCAGTTGTTCTACTTTAAACAAGTTATATTCTAGGACTGTGGATCATTATAACTTTTTCTTAAGAAGTCTTCCCACAGGCCCCAAAGTAGAGCTAATGAAGTTAAGGGAAGAGAAAAGAACAAGGATCATACTGGAAAGTAATTCACAACAAAAGGGAGAGAACAGATAAAAATCCAAGAGTAATTGTGAGGCTCAGAACAAAAGCAGCAGGTAGATAAAGATGACGGAGCAGAGAAGAGAAAAGTAGCACTACTTAAGCTATGAGAAGTGAGAAGTTAAATCTTCCCCATCTCTTCACTTGATTATTTATTTATCATCTGAAATGAGAGAATAAGCAGTCAAATCCACTCATAAAAATCTCTCTTGGCCATTTTGAGGCATTAAAGGATTATACCACATGGACTCATTACATCGCGTGACTTCCATCCCTGTTATTTCTTTCTTTTTCAGAGACCAAGGTCACGCTGATCTAATGAATGGCTACCAGAACCTGGTTGTCTCAAACAAGTCAGAGTGCAGCCACGAAGATGATGAAGGGAGTGGAACATCTCCCTTATGAGGAAAGGCTGAAGGAGCTGGGTCTCTTTAGCTTGGAGAAGAGGAGGCTGAGGGGTGACCTCATAAATGTCTATAAATACGTCAAGGGGGAGTGTCAGGAGGACAGACCCAGGCTCTTTTCAGTGACGTCCAATGACAGGACAAGGGGCAATGGGTACAAGCTGGAACATAGGACGTTCCTCAAAAATATTAGGAAAAACTTTTTCACTGTGAGGGTGACAGAGCACTGGCACAGGCTGCCCAGGGAGGTTGTGGAGTCTCCTCTGGAGACATTCAAAACCCACCTGGACGTGTTCCTGTGTGACCTACTGTAGGTGATCCTGCTCTGGCAGGGGGGCTGGACAAGATGATCTTTTGAGGTCCCTTCCAATCCCTAATATTCTGTGATTCAAGAACATCAGCTTTCTAATACAATTATTGTATAATTTAACTGAACTCTGAAGCACTGTACACAAAAGAACATTAAATCTGCGGTTGATCAAATGACCTGTCCTCTGTTAAAGGGCAGCTAGACCATGCGTACAGTGGAAACAGTTCAGTGTTGGGACACCACAGCCAGGGAGCATACTTCTGAACTCATTAAGAGGAAAGTAACTAGCTTGCTTAAAAACACTTACCCAAACTGCTGGGTAGTCAGTACTTCTCCCCTTTCTTCCTTCTGCATCTGCATCGCCTTCTTCCTTTCAATGTTTGCTAATGTAGGAAAATTTCTAGAAGGAAAAAAAAAATAAAAATCATTGGCTCTTAAGTGATTCACTGTACTTTGTAAATTCCCAAACCAGCATCCTCTATAAACATAATAGATTTTTTAAAAGTTTCATGAACGTTTAACAGACTGTTTCTTTTTTAAAAAGGCACTAATAAGGGGCAGAGGAAAGAAAAACAAAAAAAAAGAGCACATTTATGCTTACATACACAGATTAAAAAAAAAAGATTCTACCAAATTGGCATCATTAGATTTAACAAACCCTCAGACAAGCTACAAACAAACAGTTCTGTCATGTTTATAGACTCTCTGCCTGCCCCTACACATAACAGCATGATGAAGTCCTGCAATTTTATTTTTATGGTGCTTCAACTGAAGTATTTGAATGATCTTAAGAGGAACAACACACCTTTAGCAAACCAACTGCTGAAGTCTTGTAATAATAATTAAAAAAAAGTTGTAAGAACAGCTTCTAAATGTACCAGATTCCTTTGATGTGACTTACAGGGAAATGCACAAAAGCTTCCTCTCCAGTGGTATTCAGTATTGTGCTTGCACACAAACCTCTAGTTCACCAAAACTACCACCCTTTTTTAATTTCAGCTTCAAGAAAAACCTGCTAAGTCATGCAGTTGAAAACAAATCTGCTGTTACAATCATCTCCCAAACCATCCCTCTCTTCCATTCCCCACCTCCCTTCCCATTCCTCCCTACAGATGAACACCACGCTGGTTCTAACACGCAAAGCCTGCTGCAAATTACTGTCAAAGGCCCGAAATGGCTCTGCTAGTTGCTCTGTAAACATTAGTTAGCTAAATCCCAGTGCTTTGAGATAAAGGTTGTAAGTGAGAAACACATAGCCCCCCCCACTAGCTTCTGAATAGAAACACAAGGTATAAATATTTAATAAGTCTATTAAAATGGAGTAATGAGAAACTGGGAACAGCTACTCACTATATATAGCTATCAAAAAGCACATGTTTCCTTCTTTAAATATTTAACCTTATCACATGCATCTTCCTCATTTTACAACATGAATGTTAAGTGGCACATTGATGCAAGAGAGCTTCAACCACGTGCTAAGGGAAAAAGATGAGAAGCATTTCCTGCAAGACACACCTAAACATGCTACAGAACTTGCCTCCTTTAAGAGGATTCAAACCTGAGTTGTCAACGCTTATTTTCATTGGATTTCTCTCAGAAATCCTCCAAACAGCTCGAATGAGCACAGGGACACGATGTTTTATCTCTCCTCTCCCCTGTTAGTTTCATTTGTTCATCCGCGTTCTAATAATCCCAGCACGTCACAAGCGTGCAATGAATAATTTAATCTCTAGAGCTTCACCCTGACAAAGACCTCAGTACTTGGCATCTCGCCACAGTTTTAGGATAAGGTTAAGGATAAGTTAAGCCTCATAGGAGGAGAGAGAGCTATAAAATAAGTAGTTACACCTAAAAGAGCCAAAAGCTTGTCTTAGAATTTTTTTTTTTTTTTAAAGACATAAGGGAAGACCCTTAGTCCTGGAGCAAAGGAGTCTTCAAAGTGCTCCTGCAGTTATGCCGATTAAGGACGTATTCAGATATGCTCTCACAACACGATTTGAGACGTGACTGCCTCCCACTTTCATTCCTATGAGTTACCACTCCCTCCTCCGAGCCACCGTAATGGACTCCACGAATCCTTTCAGCTCGACTCCTTGCCAAGATAGATTTCTCCTAAACCACCCTCCCAGTTGACACAGGCAGTAACTAACAGCTAAAGCCAGCTCAACTCGTAAATCTAAGTATGCCCACAAAAACACATCTGAGGGCACCTTTAGTGGCTGTGTTTGTTTTCTCTACTCCTTCTCAAATGTTAAATAGTGCTTTACTCACCACTTTTACCCTGTGCAGAAAATGAAGCCCTGCTGTCCAAACGGGTATATTTCATTGACAACAAGCAAATGAACATCCACTAGTTCATTCTTCTTTCATCTAAGGACTTGGTGGGCAGCGTTTCTAGATGTTTAAGTCCGCAGGTCACCAGCCTTGGTATGAGGTAGATAGAGTTCAATTCTTCCCAGGCACTCTGCTGTGTGATGATGAGGCTGGGCTAACCCCACCAGTGGGTCCTGGTGGGACCTGGCCAAGTCAAGCCCAGCTGCTCTGGCAAGGAGCCAGGGGGCCAAAGAGGTGTAGACCAAAGTTACCCACCCACCCCAACATAACAACCCCAGAGTAACCCCACAACTCATCAGGTACAACAGCCCCAGCACAAAGAGGTTTGTGCATCTCCTTGCTAGCATCACCTGGATCTACTCACAGAGGCAACAAAATTCAACCAGACCCTAAAGTCCAGTTAAAGCACTCAAAGCACTCTAGAGGTCAAAAATTGAAGAGAAAGGATTTTCTTTTTTCTGATACAGAGAAGGCAGCTAAATGTAGGAAGACTGGTCTCGAACAGAGGTGTGACAATGCAGAAGGAAGAGCCTATACTGAATTTCTTCACATTGAAGGCCATATGTTAAAATTCGATGAGCTGACCTGGGCTGGAACCTTCTCAGAAGGTATGTCCTTCTCCTCCCCTAATGAAACGAGGTTCTTAAAATGCTACCTACAAATACCACCGAAGTAGAAGTAGTAGCTCAGCATTTAGGTCCTGCAAACAACTTGTTGGAGCTTGAATACAGACAGCTTCCTCAGTCACCACAAAACCTTTATGAACCTAAGCAACTTGTTATAAAAGAGGGAGTTAAACCAGGATGTGATGGATTGGCACAACAGATTTTAGGAACAAGCCAGTACCACTCAAGACGGCAGCCCCATTTCATAGCAGCTGCAGTTTCCAATCATAGACACTTCTATAATCTAAATTGTTTTTAGGCTAAGATGCGTAATTACATATACACCAAAGTCCAGTGACAGGGAACAGTGACAATGAGCATAATAATTAACACATGCGCCTTAGTGAATTAGTAAACAACTTTTTTTTTTTTTTTTTTTTTTTACAAATGAGTGCATTATACCGCATCAAACACATTTTATAGGGCAGCACACTCTTGCTCACATAAACATCAGGGTAAACTAGCTCTTAGCAAGCAGTGGGAAAAACAGAACTTCACCAATGCCTAACAGAAAGAGAGACCTGTTTCTAGAGCAGTTTACACAATGAATTTCTGAGCTGAGAGCTGTATCAGTTTGTCATCTTTGTAGAAACAGCTCTGTGATCAAACTGCCTCAATAATTTCTTGTGCTCATCTTGATTGCATACAAACAACCAACACTGAAGGTGACATGGATAGCCCAAAGGGAACAAAGATGGCTCAATATAGAGAGATGATAAAACCTCAGTTTAAGACTCCCAGGCATTTTACCAAGCATTGTTATCTCTAGTGTTATGTTAGCTGAGGCAGTTTGATTGCTAATCCATCCCTGCAGTTGAGAGCAAACTTTATTGTATATACCATGAGGCACCAACACATTTCTTTCAGTTCACTTCATCTTCTCTACTTTTACCAGGTGCTAAGAAGTTAATTTTTCTTATTATGTATTTAACTACTACAAATGCAACACCAAGGAGGATTCCAAGCTACTTTAGGATTATCATTATTCAACTACAGAACCACAAATGAATTAAAAGTGGTGTGGCTGACAGTACCAGCCTTCATTCATTAAGCACATAGCCTACGAGACGTACTGCAAGGAAATACAACAGTCAATCCCTAAGTGAACAAAAAACTCCAAACCTAACACTAAGATTAAAGGAAGCAAGGGAGATGGGAGAAAATTTACAAGCAACACATGAGATCAAGAAAATCCTCCAATGTTATATTAACACCTAAGCAAAATCAAGTTAAACAATTTGCTTTAACACCAGAGCAGCCTTGCCATATTCTTTCTAATAACTTTTGCTCAAGAAGAGTTGGTTAGAAACAGATGGGCTAGCAGGACCCAGATCTCAGTTGGGAAGAAGGGAAGACAGCAATACATCATTCTGACACATTAAGGAAACACACTGTACATAATTCCCTTTAAGCTCATGTTTAAGAAAAAAATATGCTGAGAATGGCACATTTCTCAACATTTAGAAGGGCCAGGACAAAGCAAAACAAGAAGAGTAATTGTAATCACCAAAGTTATGTCAGACTTCACAACCATTTCTCTGCAAAACAGAGGGAAAACCTGAGATTGCGTGGAACTTCATCTCTATTGTTGTTCATTTAACTAGATTGCCTGGCTCAGCAGGTCCAACAGGCCACAAACCATTAATGAGTCTTTTAGGTAAGCAGAGAAGTGAAGGCTGCAGCAATGAACGGGGCATTATACAGAATCAGACAGGAAAGCAACATTCCTACTCAGCATACCTCAATCCAGAGACACACGTCCTTACCAGCTCTCCCCCTCCTCTTCCCTCTAGGCATTTACACACTTTACTGCTGCACTTTAAGCACAGGCTCTTTCTAAACACAGGGTACACAACCGAGCAACACAGCAGCTAATTAAGTAGAAAAATCTCAACTCTGTAAGTAATTATAACGGCTGAAAGAACAAGCAAGACAGGAATGTTGGGGATGCAGCATGGAAACATGCATGTTAAATCACTGCAACCTAATTAGAAACAAACTACTAATGACCTAAAAAGATTCATTCTTAGGTCTGGCTGGAGTTTCTACAAAGAAAAAAAGCTTTTTCCTGTCACCATAAACCAAAACTGCCTAATAGCTCAGACTCCCTCTGGTGTCCTTTTTTTTCTGTACAATGCTATGTTTACTGTGAGTCAACAAGAGACCTTCAGCATCAAACTGATGCTTTGCTGGCGACCCAATTAAAGCTTCACAAAAGTTTCAGCTGGGTTTCTCTTTCTTCAATTTAAAAAAAAAAGAAAAAAAAAAGAGAAGGATGTTTAGTAGAGCTTCCTTGCTGAACAAAGAGTAACAAAAGCCACCCAGGTAGTCATTCTACACCCATCCATTATAGGAAAACAAGGTGCCTACAGAAGGACTGAAGTAGGAAAATAAGTCACAGCACTACTCCATCTAGTGGTCTTGGCTCAGAAAGTCCTAGTCGGATATTAACAGTTTTTTTGGTTGGTGGTTGTGACTACAAGACTTTATTTCTACTGATGTTAATGTACTGCAGTGAATAAAGGTTTTCAGCAATGTCGTACTGCAGCCAAATCATACTCATCTGTAAAAAAACCAACAGTATCCACGAGATTCTTTCGAAACTCTGCAAAAACAATTTCAGGCAGAGCATCGTCCTCACAATTAACTGTAGACAAATGTTGCTTTGACTCACAGTACCCTCTCCCCAAGCAAACAGTACCTAAAACATTCAATTCCTGCTTCCCTACTGTTCTAGCAGACAGTAGAGCATGTATTGACATACACACCTTAAACATCTTTTCAACACCTAAACCTTAATATCAGCCATTAGACATGAATTCTCCCAAACACCTCCCAAAACAGAAAAGCTGAAAATAAGTAGAAAAAACTCTGCACCCAAGTATTGATTCTTTTCCTTGGAGGTGCTGTTAAAAAACTAAATGCAGGCCACCAGACAGACGAAGCTGTTAACACCTTCATATTTTAAGTAATAAAGACATGGTTCACTGTTGGGAGGGAAAAAAAAACAAAAACAAAAAGGACTGCAATATGTAGACTGAAAGACAATAAAAATCAAGCCCTCAAGTATCTTTTGAATAAAAGAAAACCTTAGAACTGAAACCAATTTAACACCAAACTTTTACTTGCGTGGATCATAAGCAATTTTTTTCTGCTTAACTATGGCATTTTAAACATGTTAGAAAAAGATATTTTTGGTTTGTATCAACAAGAGCTGTCAAAAAAAAAAAAGGAGGATCCTACAGATTATCCTCATTTGTAAAAAATGAACAGCAGGTTCAACAGTTGAATGCTGTGATGTGCTAACACAGTGATAACATTTCCCTTTGCCTTTCTGAAATTTGCAGAAAAAGCTGAAACCGTGCCCAAAGGAAAGTTAGAATTTGCAGGGATGAACTTATATGGGGAAAAAATTTGCTTTTCAACACAGCAAAAACTGATGGGAGACATAAAAAAAAAAATCTCCAGCCATACATTCTACTACTTTTTCCTTTTTTATAAAGCTACTATGTAAAATTTAAAGAGATGTCAGGTTCAAAGTACAAATGCATAACCATTGCTTTATGACAGAAATGCATGCTGGATTCATCAGTAAGACTGCATTAGACATCTGGATTTATTTTCATTAAAAAACAAAACAAACAAAAACGACAAAAAAACCAACAGGTGATGAGTACACTGCTCTGGCTCATCATCAGTGATTCTGAAATGAAATTTGTATTTCTTCCCACTCTGCATCCAGGACTCTTGCTCATAGAACCAAAGCCCATGTACTGCTCACGCACAAGATTTTATTTTAAGTAGGAGCAGAAATGAGGAAAGCCTACAGCATCTTTCATCTGTTGGGAAGGTGAGATTTTAATCCGTTCTACTATGAGTGAAAAAAAAAAAACCTCAATGGGGTAAAGTCTATGGAAGTACAGTGTGAATTTTTAAACACTGCAGTCCTAGTCAATAAGAAAGTTACAACTTTTCATATCACATAATAAGAAACAATGAGAAATACTGCTTAGATGGAAAGTTCACCTTGCACCCAAGGTACAATGTGAGTTGGACTACCTGAGACAGCATCATTCACGGATTCTGCTTCTCTTTCAGTAGAAAAGTGTCAAGCAATGAGAAAAGTTCTTAAAAATTAGGAAAACTCCCTGGTGTGGTTTAGTGAGACAATTTAGGATGGGGAAATCTGCACACAGCAGGATCTTACCTGTTGAGAAATCACCAAGTAAACACACACATATTTCTGACCTAAAATGTCCCAGTGATCAGCCTAAAAAGAATGAGCTGTTCACCTAACACAGGGCACAAAATCAAATGTCTTGGAAAGCTACTTCCTTCTTAGTTGACATCTTGCCTCTTATGATCATCCAAATGATTCTAGTTTCTGCAGCTCGCACTCTCCTGGCTCAGGCATTCTGACACTGATCACTACCACTGGAGTTTTGCAGAGCCAAAGGAACAACAGCAGCAAGCACATGCTGCTACTGCCTTTCAGCTATCCCTAATGATCACAGAAGGAAAACACAGTAAAGCAATTCATAGGTCACAAGTCTTACTCACTTTTTTCTTTCTTCTCTCCATCTAGCAATCTCTTCCGGACTATCTAATTTTATTCTTTTAGCACCAGGTGCGTGTGCCTAAGGAAAAAGTATTTCATAGGTGTTTAAAAGGTGAAGGAAAAAACCCACAAGAAAAGAACAAAAACACTCCCACCATTCTGTCAACTACAGTAGTATTACACTGTTTTTATCTCCAGATGTGGCGAGACTGCACACAGTGACTACAAAATTAATTCATTTAAAAAAACCAACACAGTATTCAACGTATTTTCATCCACAATATTGTCTTAGAACAGATTCTACTCAGAAGTGATACATTTTCCTTCCCAAATGGTGGAAGCAAGCCTCTGCAGAATGAGAGAGGGAGCTACAGTAAAGATTGCATAAACTTGTATTTTGGGCCCGGGGGATACCTACATTCTTCCAGTGTATCTGAACTATCTTCTCATGTGCGCTGAAATTGCAACCTTCTTCTGTGCACTGCAAGATACGGGGTTAAACTTAGTACACACCAAATTACACAAACAAATCATAACCAGGCATTCGAGCACACTTCAAATAACCTCAGTGCCAGATGCCTATGTAGTTATTTATACAGAACTTGTGATCTACTCAGTTTCAAAACAAATGTGACTGTACAAACAGTAAGAATGGATAGTGTACTCTTAAAATTCATCTGATTTTAGAATAACCAGTGAAACCAACATATCTGAAGTTATCGTCATGTTAACTTCAATTAAGAGAAAGGTTTGCAAAACGATCCAACTAAAAATCTTGATATTTCTCTGCAATAAAGGAACAGATTTTTAAAATAATTTTACCAGCAAAGTCTTCTCACACAACAAATTTTACACATTATACTGATGTCAACTAATTAATTCCTACTGCTTAGCAATACTTCACAAGAAAGACATTAAAATTACTCCAGCAATAAAACCAAAAATACAACTTAGACATGGCATTCAGAAAAAATCCCCTACTAACATTTTTTGAAGCTCTGGGATCTCTTTGCCAAGTCTTCCACTCAAAGAGTAACCACAGCTAACTAGTTATCAAGCATACATGTAAAATAACAGTGTAAATAAAACAAGTCAAATTCATCAACCTGTTTATGTTGGGAAATATGTTCGTCATACTTCTCCTGGTTTTTATAGCCACGGTCACAAGTATCACAATAATGAGAGAAAACTGGCTCTTTCTTCTTTTTGGTCTGAAAAAAAACCAACAAAAAACACAAAATCATGTCAAGATTGTAGTTACAAGATTACAAGGCATTCCTATTTTTAACTAGGTTCCAAAAGTTTCAAAGATAAGCTAACATAATGTGAAGCTCACATCACTTGTCTTCCAAATACAGTCCAGCAGTCAGCTCTTTCCGCTACCACCTTGCCATCAATTATCACTTCTGCAAACACACCAGGCTGGTACAGATTTATGAAGGGCTGGGAGGAGAGCTGGGCTACAGCCCCCAGTCTCTCTCCTATCAAGTCAGACCACGTCTGTTCTCATATGGCAGGAAAGAGCTCAGAGGCCAGCACAGATCCTTCCTTCTCCCACTACACATATCAGGGCAATCTGGCTGCTCGACCTTGATACTGTAAGAGAGTAGCACTTGGGCATCACCACTGTAAGGGCTTTTCCAAAGTAAACCCGTGTTAAAGTTTGACTGAAATTGAACCTTCTTTCAACTGACTCAAGATTTACAGACTGACTGTCATGTGTTTGCTCTCTTTCAAGTGCAGGCAAGAGTATGGGGCCTCTGTTGCGCTACAAGGCGAGTCTGACACAACTGCCACATTAGCAGAATGACAAAACAGTTCGGGTTGGAAGAGACTTTCAAAGACCATCTAGTTGCAACCCTACTGCCATGGACAGGGACACCTTCCACCAGACTAGGTTGCTCAAAGCCCTGACCTTTAACATTTCCAGGGATGAGGCATCCACAACTTCTCAGGATAACCTGTTCCATTGTCCCACCACTCTCACAGTAAAGAATTTCTTCCTAGTAATCTTATCTAAACCTATCCTCTTTCAGTTTGAAACGGCTGCCTCTTGTCCTATTGCTACAGGCCTTACTAAAAAGTCTTTCCCCATCTTCTTTCTTACAAGCCCCCTTCGTATGCTGAAGGGCTGTAATCAGGTGTCCCTGAAGCCTTCTCTTCTTCAGGCTGAATAACTCCAACTCTCCCAGCCTTTCCACACAGGAGAGGCATTCCAGCCCTCTGGACCCACTCCAAGAGGCCTATGTTGTTCTTCTGCTGGGGACCACAGTTCATACCTTTAGCTTGTTATTTTCCTCTGGAAAACGTTTACTAAATCCAGGTGCTTGCTCGCCTTGCCATTTCTGGGAGAAACGGCCATTTCCACCTTAAGAAAAAGAAAGAGCCAGTTATACATACAGCTGATAAAGCACTTCCCTTTCTACCTCTGTTAGCCCACTGTGGTGGGTAAGGGCCTGGGGGAAAGTGACAAGCCAGGTCTGCATGACCACCATGGACAATGCGGCACGTGGTTGGAGGGAAGGGGAGCCATCCACCCCCCAAGGGTCAGGGGTAGCCTCAGCTTTCCCACTGGTCAGAAAAGCAGTCAACAGGCCCCCAGAAACGACTCTCCCCGTTCCCCTCACCAGCGTGCGGGCCTTGTGGTCGGTCTCCATAGGCCGGCGGGTACCAGGCAGTGGGTGACGCGTAGCCGTCAGGCAGCAGGTAGTTGTTGGCGGGCGGGTAACTCTCGGCGGGC